AGCTGGTGGGACCTCTCTGCCAATCAGGTGCAGGGAGGGCAACCAGCTAAGTGAAAAATATTAAAGGAGAAGCTGCGGGGGGGCACTTCCAGCATAATGTACGGTGATCCCTAACTACAGGTTCACTTTTAAAAATTATTGTACATCCACCACACAGGGACAGAGTCAAATTCTTGTACTTGTACTGACTTTTTGATCCCCTAAAAGTAGCCCCATTGAAAGCAGCTGAGCTATTTCCGTCTTAAGCAGCTATTTAAGCTAAGCAAAGATATTTTATTGGTTGTGTAGATTTAGAAGCGAATTAAAAAAAGAAAATGGATAAGGCCAGGATTTCACATATTGCTCTAAAAATGACAGGGTTACCTTTAGACCAGGGCAATTATTTGGGCCAGTGGACCACATAGGGAGTTTTACGGAGTTGCAGCAGGCTGGGTCAACAACCCTCCCTCAACAGCTCACCAAAACTCCCTATGTGGGATGGGGCCGCAGGCAGGAGGGGAGCTGCAGCGGGTGGCCGGCAGCTTTAGCAGAGGCAGCTTGGCCGAAGCCCCGTCAGCATAGTCTGTCCTCGAGGAGGGGCTGCAGCTGCTGCCTACCTTTGGCAGTCTAGATGCAGAGGTGGCAGCAGATAGGCAGAAGTTGCTGCTAGGTGCCAGGAAAAAGCAGGACTTGGCAGTGGGCACAGCCACAACACCCGCCCACCGCTGCAGCCGCCTGGAACCCGCATCAGGTCTGTCCTGCGGCTCCTCCCCACCGCCACCACCAGCGTCGCCTCCGGGCCTGCCCAAACCATTCCTCTCTCCCCACTCCCCACCCAAACCATCCCTGCATGCCCCAATCCACTAAGTCCTGGCCCTGTACACACCTTACACCAGCTCCTGCCACGTGCCGGAAGCAGCACCAGGTGGGCACTGGCATCAGCTGTGGATGCTGCCAGCAGGTTTCAGGTGGCTGCATCAGCGAGGGGGAGGCAGCCTGCCCAGCAGGACGTGCATGTGTGTTGGAAGCTGGTGTAAGCTGAGGACGGGGCTGGGACGTGGGTACCCGCCCACCAGCAACTGGAGCTGCCAGCTCCCCGCTTTGCAGCCACTCACCTGTAGGCCAAATATAATCAGTTGGTGGGCCATATTTTGCCCACCCTGGACATGATGCTTTATTTCACAACTCAAAAGGGTTATTTTTATGCATCCATGAATACTGAAGGTGACAGGCAGCATAGGAATGCCAGAAACAAAAAAGCACAAATATGATCCAAGACGTTGCTCGGCAGTCTTACTAGAATTGCCAAATCACTTTGTGAGCGCCTCTGACTCCCATCACCTACAACCTCTAGTTCTGGCTTGAGTTTTAGATACAAAAGAAGAATAAGCTTGAAATGTTCACTCCACATCTCAAGTGAGAAGCCTTTAAACAGTACGTTGGGAAATCCAATCCCCTGAGGCAGCCCCATCCTGACCTGCTAAGGCTGCACTATCCTCCCTGAGTGGGGGCAGGACCTTTCGGCCCTGGGTGTTTCTCTCCCCTGTACCCCCACGCCACAGCTGGTTCCTACCACGGGTGCAGCTTCCAGGAAGCCAAAACACCAATGTCCCATCCGCTCCCCCCACACGCACACAACTTACTACTACTACCCCATATTATCCCATCTCTTGAGACGTAGCTCATGAAGAGACTAAAACAACTCTTTATTCAGTGCTGTTCTCCAAATGAAGCAAAAAATCATAAACAGGATAGCAGTAGAGACATTTCAGAAAGAGAACAACAGTAGCAGCTAAAGCTTTATCACTGGAATTTAATGGCCATTGGTGAGATGTAATTGTGCTTCAGGAAATGAAAAGAGCTGTTCCTCTAGTATCTCGTTTAGCAGAACTGATGTGTTAAAACAGGGACATGTAGTGTAAGTGTAATATAGTAATGTGAGAAAACATACTGTTATGCATGCTATGACAAAGAGAGATGGAAAGAGCATGTAAAGAGGATGACGCTGGTTTCTTTCTTCTAAGCAGTGCAATCTGGAGAGGAGACTAGATGCTGTTCCAAAATAATTTCTAGCACTTGCCATGCAAGCTTATCACTTCCGAAGATGGTATCAGCAGCTCAGTCCCTACACACCTATCAAGCTGAGTCTCACCCTATGCGTCTCTTGCTAATTCACTCCAATATTAGCAGAGGTGAAACAGCAGAAAAGTTTTAATTACGCCATCAGTCATTCTGATAAAAAGTTTATTAAAGTGAAAGGGGGAAAGTCTGTTAAATTAAGATGTCAACCAATTCAAGATTACATCTGAACTCTTCTTTGGGGTAGTCTTCCCACTCCTCCCCTCCCCTCCATTTTTCTTTCTATTTTTGAAGTGGGGGAAGGTTTGGATGCTTGACTGAAATTACTGGGTGTCAGACTTTGTAGTACTGTGAACAATTCAGTGATGAATTGAGAGCTGAGATGAAGGTCAGAGCCTAATTTAAACTCCTGGGTACATTTCATGAGTACATAATGGCCTGCAGATAACTGGCTAACCTAACTGGGCTCAGTGCTAAACCGAAAGTCTAGCTATGAAATCCACGCTCAGCTGTCTCCAACCTGCTTTGCCATCTTAAAGCAGTCACTTTATCGCTGGTGGTAAAACACAATGCTCCCTCTTTTTCCCATCCCTTCTTGCAGCAAAAGAAACTGGAAAGAGTCCTGTGCCTGGACTGTACAATGAGCACTTAGTTGAAAGGGATAGTTACTAAATGAATAAACCTAACTGTGCAGCCAAACCCACTTTTATTTTATGACAACCAAGAAGATAACATACTTAATTAGTTGGTGACATTTCAAAGCTGTTGATTTTTGATTCCCCGCTTCACTTGGCAAGCTTTACTGAGTGCAAAACAAGATTGTGTTTTCTTGCTAGAATCTGACATGGGGAGAAAGAGATTAAGTATCCTTTCCACTGTACCTCTTACCCTTTCCTCCATATCAGTCACACCAACCTTGGCAAACGTAACGCAAATCCATTCTGTTAGCCAAACCAACATCAGGTTTCTTTTTTAGAAGATCATTATGCCTGTGACTTTAGTGACACTCATCAGGGGAATTAAAGAGTCTGTGAATAGGAGGATAAGCATACATAAGCTATATTCTTTCCATACACAGATCACGAGAATTGATATCATTATATACTCTGCTAGTAGGAGGAGGAAGAGTAAGAATAAGACACAACACTATGTGAGTTTAAAAAAAAAAAAAGGTATCAAAACATATTGCACTCTGCTTCCCACATTGTTTTGCAGACAGCTTTAATATGTTGTACTAGACCACTACTGACAACAGAAGCTTCAGCTTTTATTGCTGTTAATACCCTGAGCAATTACTGTAACTCAGCAGGAACTTCTGCCCAGAATGGCAACTATCACATTGTAATTCAGCATTTCATGAGAGATTCTGTTCAAACATGAAGGCACCTGCTAATGTGCAAAAATTGTACAAATGGGGCTTAACGCATTATTAGAACCTGGTAGATAAAAGCCAACATTCACATTTTTTTCCCTCCACTCAAGTTTTTTTTCATGGTGTAACAGCATTATACTTGTTAGAGATCACAGCAAAAGAAGCAAATGTGAAAGCAACAACAAAAACTTGTTCAGGAAGCAGGCAACTGCCAGGTTTCAGAGATGCCAAGTTGTGAAAATTACCTAAAAAGATGAGTACTGTAAATAATGGAGAACTCCAGGCAAAAAAAAAAAAAATTACATGGACATCAATATTGAAGCTATCAGTGTGACAGGGGAAAGGAAAGAACATGTTCTCCTGCTCTACAGCCTTGCAAAATTAACCAGAAGAAGGGGGGGTGGGGGTGGAAGGAGTCAGGAAAAGGAAAGGAAACCTTTAATGGCAACAGATGGTGGGTAATCTAAACTAAATGTGTCACCCTGTGCCAGTAATTATTTATTATTTTAACTTTTAATGATACAAACATTTGTAACACATAAGCAACCAAAAAAGATCCGCAGTTAAAGACCTCATTCTCTCAAGTTCACTGTACACAGTGCATCTTGGCGGTTGCAAGGAAGGGACAAAATATAGACACCACCCTTGTAACGTCTAGGCAAGGCACTTGGAAGTTTCCTTCAGTATTCTCACTGTAATAAAAATGTGTAGCCTACTAACGACTTATACTGGGACTTGCTTAACCTTATTTCAAGCACATAATTTATGTATGGAAAATACTGTCTCTCAAGCTTCCAACTGGTCTCCAGCACGTGCCCTTGAACTCAAGATTCATTCAAGGATGGAAAGCACTGAAACAGGATTCAAGCAATATTTTTTTTTTTTTTTTTTAAATGATGGGGTTAAGTCCTCAAGCGACAGTCAGTCAATAACAAAGTAGTTTGACAGGCTCCCAAAAAGCAACACTCAATAGCCCGCACATCTCCATCTTTAGCACCTTAGTTACGTGGAACCCAACGGCATATTGCAATATCTAGGCACTATGCAATTCAGGTTTTTAGCCAAAAACAGTAGCTTCCAGTAGGCAATGCTATAAGTGGGTAGCTACAAGGATTAGAATACAGTTTTGGTGAAATGATCTATGACAGGGGTTTTCAACCTGTTTTGGTTGGTGTACCCCTAGCGGCTGGTCGACAAGCAGGGAGTCCCTGGCAGCCGATCAACAAGGGAGGTGGGGGGTCCCCCCGTGCACAGCCATGAAACCAGAAACGCTGGCAGCAAAACTGGAAGTGCCGGTGGCAGAACGGGGAGTGCCCCCCACTTCTCCGCGCCGCTACCGCATACCCCCGGGAACTTCCCAAGTACCCCCAGGGGTACACATACCCCTGGTTAACAACCCCATGTGTATGATTTCAATTCTGTATGCCCCAAGCAACCAGCTGGCTCTGCTTGCACCAGAGCAGCTTATTGCCTCAGGAGTGACAAAGCAGTTGCTAGAAGTTTACTCAAGGAAGAATTAAGAGAAATGAAATAGGTAGAGGTGGGGGGGATCACAAGAAGTATTGCTTACCAGTTTGAAGTCTTGAATGCTGCAGATGAAGTATGGGGTGTTCGGCCGGCGACTTTCAATGTACACGCAATCTTTAAAAAGAAAGATTTTAAAATAATGGCAATTAAACTTCTGTGCTTTAAAGCAAGAATACAAAACAGGTTCTACAGAAAACAGCTTAGACCGGGGGAAAAACCATAACGCTCATTAGCATAACATGTAATTTATTTCAAGCTTCATCTAAAAATAGAAGCTAGATGCTTTATTATGATAAGTAAAGAAATAGTTGCATAAAAATTAACTTTGATTTGAATGGACATTTTGTTAGGAAAACAAATGAACTCATATAAGACTGTTTGGAATCTAGCTAGTGTAATGACCGGGTCATAACCTATGAACCAGACCAACACAAAGCAGGAAACTAAGCGAATCCCTTGTGGTTCACCCACTATTAAAAACCTAACACAAGCGTATTTTCTTTTCTAATTGTAAAGAAAACCAAGACAACCAATCATAGCTGGAATGCAGTAAACTAAATTAGATTTCCGCAGGGAAGAGCAGACCTTCCTCAAATTACGTTTGACATGACAGTGTCTGAGTAATTATTTGTGTTTGCTTTTAACAACTGGACTTTAAAAGGCTGCTGTAAAATGAGGTCTGCTGTGTTACACACACAATCCTGGCAAGAATCACAGCAAAAGCATTGACTGAGGGGAAAAAAGTACAGCGCTGAATGGAGAAAGAACTGCCTGATTAATGGTAATGACTTTAGAAATGGGAAAATCCAAACAGCTTGCTAGAAAGCAGAGATGCTGTTCCCAAAGCCAAGCAAATATTTCATGGGAAGTCACTATGCTCTTTTCATTTATACTCCCATGGATAACTACTTGCTCAGATGCTGGAATATGCTATACACATCAGCTGCCCTATCTATCACTCTCCACAAAATTGCATGCGCTTCTACAAAAAAAGGTAGGTCTTATATAAAAAAAAAAAAAACCAAAAACCTCAGGTGCTGAAAGATAAAAGCAGTGTTTTTTCCATTGCCTTCAAAAGCTAATAACTGTAAAAGAAAAATACAAGAAAAAAAGCAATATCTCTTTTTAGTTCACGTGCTTAACCAATAGCTGGGTTGGGGGTAGATTGTCATAAATTGAAATAATACATATTTCACAGTGATGCAGTGCCATTCTTCCTGAAGGACACGGGGTTTCATAAATACTACCGGTTTCTAAATAACCAAGTGGTACTGAGGAATTCCTTCTCTTCCCAATGAAATGCAGTGACTTTGGAGGGGGGGTGGGAAGAAGGTCAACAGCATGCTATAGAAGCATTTCTAAACTGCAGCTGCAGGAAGCGTCTAAGTCAGGGATTGTCAACCTATGGGATTCAGTCCACAGAGCCACTGGATGCAACCGGTGGATGTCTTGCTTTGGAGGACTTTGGCAGCTGCCTCTCCTCCCGCCGCTGCAGAGACCAGAAGCTACACTGGTCAGGACCTAGCGCCTGCCTGCCCGCATCTCATCCAGGGCAGTTACTCCAGCCAGAAAAGCTTGCCTACACATGGTCTAAGTAGCTAGAACATAATCATCTAAGCTGAAAGACGACGGATGCCAGTTTTTAAGAGTCTCAACTACTTTTGGGGTATATTCCAGGACTGAAAGTGGTGAGGAGCCCAGTTTTATCATCTCACTCAAACCGTGGTAATAGGGAATTTTCCACTGCCTAACCAACCATTTTTCCCATGTATACCCTAAATATTCCCAAAACTTTGGTGTCCAGACTACCACTCAACATTTCCAGGCAGATTACACATGGGCCTAGGTGGAGCACTGCTCCCCCCCACAACATATCAAAAGCCAATTTTTAAAAAAAGCACCAGTTGAGAAAGGAAGTGTTACATGGAGGTTAACACATTTCCCGTCAGCTCTACCAGGCCCAGACACACGACTCAATCTAGGCAAAACCTGTCTGACGAAAATCAACCTTTTTTGTCTGCGAGTTGGAGGGCAGGGGAAGAGATGCAGGGCAGGAAGGGGACAGTGACAGCATGCTGGAAATTAACCTCCACCAATTCGTCGAGCACTAAAGCACAATGAGCAGAAGCTGAACTGCATGCTCAGCTCAGCTACAGAAGGCAAGAAGTAGGTTCCTTAACCTCCCAAGCCCTGAGTATAAGAGCAGTATTTCATCTAAAGTGGAAAAGACCCCTGACTCCAGGAGGTTGCAATTCAGGGTTGCATCCAAACCCATGAAGGATTAAACACACAGAGTCACCTTCCCTTATGCACTGCAAATAACTTTCAAACTGGCAAGTGCCACTCATAGCAGCCCACTTCCCTAAAGGACTTGTATGGTATCAAACAACTCTATCGCTTGGATGGTCAGAGGGCTACCTATAACAACCTCCAGCCACAGAGAGAGCTCAAGTATCCAGGACCCCCGGGCAGTTTTATCTGAGAAGCGTTATTCAGATTAAAAACAAAACCAAACCCCTTTAAGCCTTGAAGTTATGGACAGATCATTTTCTTCCTTTCTAAGGCACTCTTCTTCTTTCCTAAAGGCTGCATTGAATCTGCATGAAAAATTAAATCCACTCAAGGAAGATGGAAGTCTAGGTTTGCAGAACAAAGAGAAAGGATGGGCTGCATCAACAGCGCAGCAAACAAAACCAATGGTGGCTGGTTAAATCCTTCGTGCGATAGCCCCCCATCGAGGAATAGCCCTGTATCTGGACTGGCGGAGGGGAGCAGCCTTCCTCCGTTTCCTTAAATGCTTATGCCTTGTTACAGAACAAAAAATCACTTCCTGCTGAGTGTTTATAATGTAACCATGGCAACTGACTGATCCAAAGCCTGTAAATCCATATGTCAAATTCCTACACCCAACACTATTATTTGTAAAGCAGGCTACTTTATCACAACAGTCTCTATCCATCAGGACTTGGACTGTTAATCATTTTGTGGCAGCATTTGATAAAGTCAGATGAGCTTGGCACAATGGATTTTTTTTTTTTAAAAAGAGCTACAAAACCTATTGCTTATTTTATGGAAAGAGTCATAAAAACACAGAGGGATTAGAATCTGGAGCAGTGTGAATTCATAATTTTATCAGCATCAGTCAAGCTTGTCTCCAATTGACAACAGAAATTGAAAGAATGCCCTGTTCTGACCTAGCTTCTTGACTCATTTATAAGATAAAGCGAGAAGAAAATTATAGCCGTGCTTTGAGTCAACACCCCCATTATAAACACCTAATTTTAGGGGTTTCGAACACTGACATTTTGGACTGGAATCTGACGTGCGAGTCTCAAACCAGAAAGGGGTTTTTTCTAACTATTTCTGTTAGCTAAAAAAATGGCGATGGCCAGCTTCAGATACACAAATGTTAAGTAAAAGGTTTGAGATGCGTTTTTACCCTTACAAAATAAAATGGAAGCAGCTGTTTGAAGAAATGCCTGCAAATCTACTTGGATTTGAACCGGTGCTTTTATCACACCGGATTGTGAGGGATTCCCCAGGTGTTCACAGCAAGGCTTAATGGTGGAGCATGTCAGTCATGTTTGCTGCCTCTCATAGCCAAGTTTAGTCCTGGCCTCTTCTGGCATCTTCTAAAAGATCTGCTTTTGTTTTCAAATGGCCAAAGAATCTCTCTCAATCCAGCTGCCTCCCCCACCCTTCCTCCCAGTCTCTCACCAGGTGTTCGCCGGCTGTAAATCAAAATGCAGGTCAGCTTGTAGATGACTCCAAAAAACAGAGTAGCGGTATGCCACAAAGAGAGGACACAGCCCAACTACAAGGACACATCACTGAAGTTGCAGGCAACCAGCAGCATTCAGCCTTTGTGAGCTTCAAGCTCTCTTAACAGTGAGAGGACTGTACTCGGATAATAAAAGGGAAGAGACAGAAGAGGAGAGAACAACCACACCCGTTGCATTAAATCAAACCTGCCTCCTTAACACTGCCCTAAAATTATAACAGTGGGGCAGACGTGGTTGGGAGGGCAAGTGACACAATCTCTCTCTCCCCCTCTCCTACAGCCTACTCCACAAAGAGGTTAGCAGCCAAATGATTTAAAAATCGGCACGTTCAGCAAATGCTTCATGCCACCGAGGAGGTGGCTGTGGAAAATTAGCCAAGCTACGCATGTTTAAAAGTCTGCCACTGCTCATTTCCAGTAGCCTTTTTTAACAAAACAAATTAGCAGCAAGTTTCAGCATGACCAGCCTACTGTGCTGGAAGCAGATTCATACAGGAGGTGGCAATCTGTTGGGTCAAGAACAAACAGAACTAAAATCCACTTTAAAAAAAAAAGGGAGAGAGAGAGAAAAGTGTAAATATGCTCTTGTATTATGGACCTCAATCTCTCAAAGGAGCTGTGCGGAGTTGTTTCTAGCCATCAGGTATACAACTTGCATTTCCAAAGTTTCCCAAACCAAACGGTGCATTTGCTAAACTGATAGGAACAGCTGCGGCAGCAGCGCAAGTTTTAAAAGCCCAAAATATGATTATGTAATGGACCATAAAAGGGCCATGAAAGAAAAGTGCAAGACCCATAATCCTAGTAATGAATAATGCACATACATGACACCAAAATTTAAAAGCTTTCTGCAAACTTGAATCGATTAAGTCACAGCACCCCCCGCCCCCCGAGAAGCAGGCATGTAAACTGTCACGCACCGCACCGCTTTTCCGGCCACCCTTATAGCCATGTCTACAATGGCGTGTTACATGGATCTTGTTTGTTTGCTCTAAGTAAAGCAATTTAACAACATCAGACTGAAAAAGCTCACGCCTCCCTGATACCCCAGCTTAAAGGTACATTAATTGCTGCATGTACATAGTTTTGCGCTTACTCAAATTAACTGCTTGGTATTCTGGACAAATATCTCGTGGTGCGACGTTGGACCATTTAAGTCCATGATTTACTCACAGCGCGACACAGACTAGCTTAATGGAGACTACGGCATTCTGGGACTGGGGTCAGACAGCAACCTGCACAATTCCTTTCTTGACAACCGTTAATTTTTCCGACACCATTTTCAAGCTGTTGTCAAGCACTCCCGAGATCCCTGACTGTTACAGTCGTTCAT